CTGCCCACATCACTTGTTGACGAAGACCGTAGCAGCTGCTCAAGTGTGTTATCAGTACAGGACCAACCAATTTTGAGTCAAATTCTTCATATCAATCTTGACCACGTGAGTTCAAGAACCCACGATATGACTTTTCAACTCTGAAGTGAAATTAGGGGCAACGTGAGTTGAATAAAACAAAAAAGGAGCCGTCGAATACACCAAAAATGGAGGCTTCCTGTTTGAGCGCTGAGTAAACGAGACAGGAAGGAAAGCAATCCATCAGACATATGGGAAAGAGTAAACCTCAAGCCGAGAGAACAAACTCGTGAGACGACGTGGCTCAAAGTTGAACGGCACGCGGAGACTTCACCTCTTCTGGGAGTCGCGGGCGACACCAGCATTGCCCAAGAGGGAAAAGATAAGCTAAAGCGCGTTTACCCGTCTTTTCCGAGGCCGTAAGGTGTGCTACCCAGAACAGGGGGAGGGAACCCCTTTCTGGTAAAGTATGCTCTCCTCGAAAACTCTCGGGAATAGTGCCGCCGGTCCTCGGGATATCTTCCCGGCCTGCATGCTAATCACGAGGATACCTCCTGATTGCATGTCAATCGGGGAGATATCCCTGAGAACCGGTGTACGTGGCCTTTCCCGAGAGTTTTCGGGGAGAGCATACCTTACCAGGGAGGAGACTCTCTCCTGTTCGGGGAAGCATACCTTACGGCCCCCGGAGTTGCGAGAATGAACGGCACGTACATATGCTACCCTGCTTATAGCTTCGTTTCAAGAGAAGGGATTCACCTAGCTTCAAACGCGAAATATGTCTCAATGTTCCTGTGCAGTGGCCTCAACAGCAGGGTGAAAATCGTTTGAGGAAACGACAACGGCTCGTCAGGGTTCTTTCACGCTCTCCCACGCGGATGCTCACTCTCGCCACCCGCGAGCCGTCTGTGCTCTCCGCGCATGCATTCACTCTCGACACTACTCTCGCACAGGTAGAGAGCCATGGTCGAGGAATTCCTCGACCGTTATTCACCCTGCTCAGAAGCCCTTCTGATAGCACGACCATGGCAGGCCGCTCGGTCATTCGTAGTTTTTTGGGGGGTCGTCACTGAGAAATCCCTTTTTCTTCTCACCATGGGAAGACCATTCATTCCTCTATTGGTTGGCCGTTCCGAGATTGCCACAGGCAGACCCTAGCCATACAGGGTCAACCGTCCGTTGGACAAAGTCCAACGCATGGCTCTCTAGCGTGTGAGAGTAATGCCGAGAGTGAACGTACGCACGGAGACACAGACGGCTCGCGCAAGGCGAGTGCGAATGCCGGCGCGGAGAGCGGTCAACGTCGGTCCAACGTCGGTCCAATGTCGGTCCAACGTAACGGTTGACCCTGCCCTAGCCCCTCCCAGAATATATCTATACCTTTTGTGTAACTTAGAGGGTAATCCAGTAAAAACAGCTCCAGAAAAAAAAAAAAAAACGAAGCATACATTACCTCATCGGCTATTGTTATATTCCTAACGGACAACCAATAGTATGATATGAATGGAATGTCCTAAATCACCTCCATCCGGCACCTCTCGAGCCTAGTTGAGCAAGCAGCAAGTGCGAGCCTAGTGCAAACTCGAGTATCAATTTGATGTTCTTTTGACGTAAGTGAACCCTCATATTCACTACCTTACACTGAGAAGTGAAAGCAGATTTGTTCAGTTTGTTGTTTGCTGTTTTAACGCCGCAGTTCACGCAAGCATACTAGGTCCTGAATAAAACTTTCGCCCCTCGTCCCAGATGGGACTCGACTTGCAAATCTCTCTTACCGGGCAAGTGCGCTACAAGTTACAAGTATTCTTGTTGAATGCAAACAGCTGCGCTAAAACAGTATCTAACAAACTAAACAGGTCAGAATTAACTGCCAAACCTTTCAGCCTTGCGGTTCACTGCTAATGTCGGTAACCGGCTCAGCACGTTAAACGTGTGAGTGTTAATATGAAAAAAAGAAGAAAAGCTGAGTTGGTGCCCCGGTAGCGTAACTCGTAGCGCACTTGCCCGGCAAGCAAGAGGTGCTGGTTCGAAATCTGTCTGAGGCGAAATTTTTGTTCATAACTCAGTGTTCTTGTGGAAGTATTATAGATTCCTTCCTGTATGAAGCTCTCTTTTGAATAAGGATTGCACGAGTTTTACCTCACCCTAATGCAATGAAATTTCCAGTACCAAGGATGGAGTGTCCGATTTGCTTTCACCACGGACAGTCGCCTTAATGCCGATGGGGAGTTCGCGCTATATCAAGTGAATGTTACGGCGGACTATCCAGCAACGAAGGCGTTATTTCCAAATGCTCCAGGTGAAAGAATCACGGTTCGGTCATCTCTGCTGGAAACACGTGAACAGACTGAGAGCAATCGAACACCATAACCTCCCCACCCCCCCCCCCCCCCCCCCCCCCCCCCCCCCCCCCCCCCCCCCCCCCCCCCCCCCCCCCCCCCCCCCCCCCCCCCCCCCCCCCCCCCCCCCCCCCCCCCCCCCCCACACCCCCCCCCCCCACCACACCCACCCCACCACACAAATACTTCGTATAGCACTGTCTCGCAATCCCCCACTCGCACACGCACCACTCGCTAACACAACCAGACACGCTACCCACCACACAGCCACAATCTATTACCTCCCCCGCAACGCAATCTAGATACAAATCACTTTCATGCTCACGCAGCACACCCCAACAACCTTCATTATCCAACAAAGACCCCCCCCATAAACACAAGGCGGCCCTTACGACTCCCGTGCAGTCTCTTCTTCTTCCGAATCTTCCGGCCCATGCTAGTCCGGCCGTGAAGCCATCTCTCTCGCCATTATCACTCACTCGCTATTCTGTTCATGACGCCCCCCCACGCCCCTCCGCGCTCCGAACTCACCCATTCCAAACACAGCAAATTGATAGAGCATTTCCGATATGCACAGATCAGCGGTCCTCACTCAATGCATTCCGCGCTGGCACCCCACGACTCCAGCTCACCCCGCGCAGCGACCACAGACCAGAGACTAAGCATCCCACCCCTCGCCCGCTCTGAAAGTCATCCTTCTTGAACGAAACTGCCGCCGCGTCTAACTTCCATTCTGTACCATTCCGTCAAGACAAGCCATATGAACTGCGCCTGTGCGCCGCTATAGACGATGCTTGCGGTGGCCGCCGCCGATACTTCACAGCTCACGTCGCTTTTCTTATTAATTCCACGAACACCCGCTCCTGTAACCCGAATCCACCCACGAACCTCCGAGTGATCAGGAGCGTTTGCTATGACCTGATGTCGATCCGCCACTGCACGACCCACAGGATTCATGAATTCTCCGATCCCTCGCCCGTGTAAGCCGTGCCACTTGGCCACTCCACGCTACACCACTTCCCGCCCATAATATCATTAGCGCATCGCTTATTTACGCGCCTCGAGGGCGTGCTACATTTTCCTGTATCAGTAAAACCTAGTGAGGGAAATAAACAAACAAACAAACAAAAATAAAAAAAGAAGAAGCAAACAATACACAAAAGAACGCAAAACAAAACATTCAAAACTCCTCTCCACTTTAAGACTTAGGTAAGTTAAGTATGCCAGTCAAGCGATTCGTATGCCGGATTGCAAGGAACTAGCGATGAAATTAAGGGGGAGAAGTATAACTTATTACGCGTATTACGGGGCAAGGACACGTTGCACTAACAAAACCCGCTAACTTCAAGTTGCAACACTAAAAAAGTGGCTCGAGGGTTACTTCACGCGCGCCATGAACAGCAGTTGCTCGTGGAACCATCCGCATCAGTCGGCAATGATGCGCCACACGGGGTCATAGGGGCTTGCCGAAACTTCGAAACACGGGTATACCGACCACCCTCGTGGAATCGGCAAGCTGGATGAGAACCACAGAGACAACACCACCGAACTTACCGCGAAAGCAACTCACCGAGCTCTTTTCCACTGTGCAAAATGAGCGGTTAAGAAATCGGGTTGTGGTGCTATATGGTGCTTAAGCATTGCGTCGACTTACAATTCCATAGGGCGCCGGATCGCTAGACTAGTAAACCAGCAAGAGAAATGGGAAGAACCTCAAGTGGAGAGAACGAAAAAAAAGGAATAACTCGAAAATAATCGCAGTGAGCATGGTAACAAATCCGTTCTTCCCTATTTCTGGTAGAACAGAAACAAGGGGAAGGAAAATAAAAGACAGACACAACGTAGCTAGTAGCCCATAAATGGTGTACAGCAGGCTGATCATTGCAGACTGATCAGGCAGTTGCAGCGATAATCCAAAGAGAAGAACCACACGCAGCCAACACCACGCAACTCGAACGATGATCACTGTGTACTTGGTTTATATCACCAACGTTCCGTCAGGAAAAAAAAGATGATATGGCGACCTCCCACACTATGAAGTCCGAAATCTGTAATTTTAAGAGTGACAAGAAGATCAACTTTTCTGAGCCTGTCACGAAACGCAGATACCGTGGGAGCTTCAAAAACGCTGAAGGGTAGCATTTCCATCCATCTAGCGCAGCGGAAAAAGAGTGAATTAGAGACAAGAACGTGATGCCTTTTTTCACTGGTGCACATTGCAAGCCAAGAATGCTCGTTCGCCCAAAACAGGGTCGGAAAGTCTTATTTGCTAGCTCGCAACTTTGTCTCATTCTTCGGGATCTTGAAACAAAAGGTTATGTCATTGAAAACCCTACGATAAAGTAAACTTTTCATGTTGAGTATTTGTAATCTCTGATGATAATGTGGCATAGAATTACAATAATCTGCACCAGGATAACATCTACTCAACACAATTTTAGTGAAAGCTTTTTGAACTTTCTCAAGTTTAACTTGTAATTTCTTCGTCGATGGGCTCCATAGTTGGGATCCATACTCAAGAATAGGCATCACAAAGACCTTGTATAATTTGAGATGTATGGAGACATCATTGCAGTGTATGTTCCTGCAAATAACAAAAAGTGTCGCAAATGCCTTCTTAACTATTGAATCAATATGTGCATCAAATTTCAAGTCTCTCCTAACATAGATTCCCAGATCTCGCACTAAATCAAGTGTACAAAGTGCATTGTCACTGAATTTGTACTCACTACCAGGAGAGCGACCTATGTGAAGAACAGAGGTCTTGGTAAGGTTGACCGGTATTCCATTGTCCAACGCCCAGTCCATCATCCGGGAGATAGACAAGGACAGAGCGTGGTGCACTTCATTTTTACTGCTATCGTTATAAATACCATAAATCTTGATGTCATCTGCATACATCTGTACCTTTATTGCAGGGTGAGTTCGGAGTAACTTGGGTAGATCGTGGGCATAAATCAAGAATAAAAGGGGTGACAAAACGCCACCTTGAGGGACACCACTCGTACATGGGTAGCGTTTGGAGAAGGAATTCTCTACCTTAACACACATTTCTCTTTCAGCTAGATATGCCCAAATCCACGCCAGAAGTGCACCACCATTCCGATCGTAGAAAGCTTCATGAGGAGTTTCACATGGTTTACTTTATCGAATGCTTTTGATAGGTCGAAATAAATAACATCTACAGAATTATCATCGTTAATGGCAATATTCCAGTCGAATAGGCAATCAGCAAGTTGGGTTATTGTTAAGGCACCCGCAATAAAGCCATGCTGTTCAGGAGGGACAAGATTCATCGAAGAAAGCCATTTTACCAGTCTGTCTCTAATAAGTTTCTCAACGACTTTGACCGGGGTCGATGTAATGCTTATTGGTCGATAGGAGGACACCTTGGAATCTTCTTTAGCTTTAGGAATAGCCGTGAACAGATTTTCCAAGAGGGGCTGGTGGGCACCTTCACAAACCAACGAAGCATTAAAAAACTCATCTGCACGAGGTTAAGCGACAAGCACCATTATTTATGTAAATACATCTTAAGGTAATGCCTCGACATCCTTCCAGCCATTCTTCGAATCATTTGACGACTTAAGGACACGAGCAACCACCTCCCATCAGCGCGTCCAAGGCATAAACACTCATTTCGATAGGCGGTGCATGTGATTGTAAATAGAACACTGTATATCTATCTGCTAACTATTTGCATTAAAACTGCAAGCAAAAAAACACTACTAATGCTTCTGCTTCTATCATCCTTAACGTATTGAATTACCAAATCATCACCCAAACAGGCATCTCTTCTTTTTCAGACATAAAATCTAATTTCTTCTCTGAGAGAGAAATATATGAAATAACCCCTTTTGTAATTTGGGTGATCGCAGCAGCGCCTATTCTATAATGCAAGACTCGCCTCAATGATTCAATCTAAACATATCCTATCACTACACTAACACACACACAGTTTGAGACTTCTCAAATAGCGAATTTTTTGATACAATTCTGCGGAATTATGCGACTGTAGTGTGGGTTTTTGTCGCAGGAAATAAAGGAAATGTACATTTCAAGTTCCACGGCCACTGTGTATAATCTACGCTTCTATAAGTTCGCACTGAACGGTAGGCTTTAAAAGTTCTCTCAAGATGCTATTGAAAAAGAAGTGAGAGAGACCTGCATAAATAGCTGCTTTGAATTGGAAGGAATCTCGACTTGTTTGGGAACGGAGGCTTGGAGATAAAAAGAAATGGCATGATGGTCTGAAGATCCGAACGGCGGTAATATGGCGACTTCATTCCAGGCGAAGATCGATATAATTCAAGATAGCATCCATTTCGAGTAGGCCCGCCTGGCACGATACTGATAGCGAGCACTACTAAAGGAAATCAAAGAAATCTATGCAGTACCATTTTTGGCAGTATGCGTGCTTCAATCGATATCCAGACTGAAATCACCAAATCATCAAATGGCTTCCAGATAGCGAAAGTTCCTATGAGAACCTCAACCAACCTCTCGTCATCAGCAGCAGAGGATCCCGGGGGACGATAAACTAAAATTAATCTAAGTGGACGCAAGTATTATGAGCTCAAACCCTCAAGGCATAGAACATCCCCCGCACGCAGAGAGCCGACGGAACGTGTGTGTGATACTAGTGCGTTAAAGGAGTCTTTGGACAGACAACAACCCACCACCGCTTTCGTCCCGCGGTCACAGCGGAAAATCTATAAAAACGAATATTCCGAATAGAGAATGAATTATAACCATTCTCGGTCATAAAACCAAATCAGGAACCGAGGCGAGACAATAGAAGTGTCAATTATTTGATACCCTACTGAATTAAAAGAGTAACTCAAACCGGGGGGACACTTCCGTAACAAGCGAAGAATCTTCCCGAAGCTAACAGCACCGTTAACATTCACACTCCTTAAGATCTTCAATCCGTCTCAGCTCGCCACGGTAGACGACCCATACCTTGTTTTTAAACTGGCTATTGCGCGCTTGACATTCTTGTCTCAATTCATACTCTTTTTTCGCTCATCAGGTGTCATGCTCTTTCGAACATGCACAGAAAGAATATGCAGATTTCCTCAGTTTGTACGAATTCGCTAAGGCAGTTTGCCAGTGTGCACGCGATGGCAAAACCACTTTAACAATTCTGGGGCGCGACCCAGTCATTTTGCCCATTCGAAAGATTTCAACTGGTCTACACTCAAGATCCAAAATATCAAAAACCTTACTTACTTTGGCCTCCAAATCGCATTGTTTTTTTGAAGCTTCAAGATTACCTGCCGCTTCCGGTAAGCCAGACAAAATAATGGATCTTCCACGCTTCTCGGCTTCAATTCCATCAGCGATTTCTACAGGAATTTTAGATATCAGAGCCTCAATCATTTTGCCAATTACTGGGTCCTTGTTTCTCTTTTGAATGGCGATCAACAACTCGTTTGAGGACATACTGCAAAAATCACGCTCAGAAATCATACTTGCCATTATCAACTATCTGACTCGTATCACTATTAATACACCGATTAGCATCATCACCAGCAGCCAGAGTGGCTTCGGATGATGACTTGATCGGGTTCTCTTGCTTCGCTTGCCTCTTCGAAACAACGACCCTAATCGGAGTCGGACGACGTGCGGTAGGCATATCGAAATACGGACTTTGAACTTTGGACTCAAATCAATACAACAGGATTACAAAAAAAATTCAGGTAAGAGGAGCAACGACTCCCGAGAATGTGGGCTTAAGCTTCAAAGTAGGCAAGCCAATACAAGAAAGCAAAAATCAGAAAGCAAGAACAAGATTAAAGTGAAAAAAATGCAACTTATCACAATAATTGAGAGGATGGCAAAATAGCCGCCGCGCGCGAGCAGTGTACGTGATCGAATGTGACCATATACATATTATAGAGTTGACAATGCGCTTACCTTATGGTAAGACCATAAGAAGCTTCACAGTTGAGAGATTAAAGACTTAAGGTGCCACATCGCCTTTTTGTGACCAGCATTTCGTGCAGCCTGAGAAAGCCTTCGAGCCATCAGAATTAAGCGAGTCTTTTTTCCCCTGATATAGGGAAACCCGGACCTTCTTCTTCTTCTCCTCGAAGAAGGAGAAGAAGGACCTGAACATCGATTTTATCATATCACATTTCCCGTAAGTCATTGTGTAGGCCGCCTACTTTCGCACCGTGCCCCCTGCATATGGAGCTCGACTACTTACTGAGTTAAACTTCCTTACGCCAAAAATCCCTTAGCATCAGCTGCTACCGAATGCGTACGCAATCATTTCTAGCGTAAACTTGAGGCTGTTGTTGTAGAATCCACGCTTCATCATGTCGCCAGTGCAGCCTTCCAATAGTAACACCCCCACGAGCCGATAATAAATTTGATACAAGTAAGTGCGTCATCGTTCGACATGTATTGAAACTGTTGTGAGAAATCTCATCTTCCATAGGTAATCCAATTTCAGATGAAGTATGTCCACGTGACCAGCATCCCACGGACATGGTGCCAGTTATTGTTGGTAGTTGTCTTGCTGGACTTATTGTCATCACAATGGTTACATATTTGGTATGTTTCATCAAAAAACTGAATAGCGGCTTTCAAACATTCTGTACACCCACCAGTTTTGGACAAATATTCAAGTAATACTGCATCGTGAACCACTTTAGTAGAGTTGCTAACGAGCGTATCAGAGCCACTCTGTCGTTTCTGATTTTTTCTTCAAATTGTAACATACCTGGTTCGGTGGGTGAACTGATGATGCTTTCTTTGAGATGCATCCTTTTTTATTCATAATTTGTTTATTACTGTGCACTCGTAGGTGCGCTACAATAACTCATCAGAAATCAACTCGACTAAAATCAGAAACATTGAATTAAAATATCCAATTAAAGGCAGAACTCACGATATGAAAGCAACTCATCTCAAATTCATTCAGGAATGGTGAATGGTACAAGAAAGAAGGAAAAACCATGAGAAACGGCCCAGAACCCGAGAAATGGGACCCCTTCCTTGCCCGTTGATTTGAGCATTGATGCGACTCTCATCGCTGTGCCCTCTTCAACGGTACGCTCTCTCTGCTATCTAATCACTCGCCACGTATAGACCTGCGGCGAGTGATTAGATAGTTCGGTGG